GAGGGCGATCCACGAGTTCCAACTGGTGGACACATGGAGAATGATGCATATGAAAGACAGAGACTATTCCTTCTTCTCCAATGCACATGAGATATACTCGAGATTGGGTTATATCCTAATAGATCACCAACTCATTGAAACACTAGTTAAAATAGAAATAGAGACAAGAACTTTCTCGGACCACGCCCCAGTCGTAATGAAAATGGGATGGGGAAAAAGGTGGGTGGGAGGTTTAGGATGGAGGTTGAATGAGGCTCTACTCCTGGATGAGGATATTGTGCAGAAGATCAGGGAAGAGATTAAGGTTTATTTTAAGGAGAATGAGACAGAGGAAGTATCGACAGCTACAGTGTGGGAATGCCATAAGGTATATATAAGAGGAATCCTGATAGCGATGGGAGCAAGGAAGAAAAAAGAAAGAAGAGAAAGGGTTAGTGGACTATTAAAGGAAATCCTGGATCTAGAGCAGATTCATAAGAAGAAAATAACAATAGAAACAAGACAGAAGTTAAGTGATAAAAAAGATGAATTAGAGAAATTGATGGAAGAGGAGAGGAGAAGAGTATTTAATAAAGTATTAAGTGAAAGATATAGATGGGGTGATAGACCAGGAAAGTACTTAATGAGAGCCTTGAATAAAAAGAAAAACAGGAATTATATAGAAAAGATAAAAAACCCCAAGGGTGAGATGGTCCATTCAACTAAAGAAATCATCAAAGTATTTACGGAGTATTATAGAAAGTTGTATAACATCAGCCATCAAGGTTCACCAAAGGAAATTAGAGAGGGTATTGACGAGAAAAGGAGGATATACCTAAAAAATGCGGGATTGCCAAAGCTCAGTGAAACACAATTGAACTCTATGGAGGCAGAAATTTCTCAGGAAGAAATAGAAGTAGCATTGAGAAGTACAGGGGGAGGGAAAAGCCCAGGCCCGGATGGTTATACAGTTAAGTACTATAAAAAATTCTGCGAAGTATTGTTACCAAAGTTAAAGAAATATATGAATGACTTGGGAGGAGGGATGGAGGTGAGGAGGGAATCCCTTCAGGCTCATGTTGTTCTCATCCACAAGGAGGGAAAAGATCTATCTCAGTGTTCTAGCTACAGACCAATTTCATTACTAAATACCGATACTAAGTTGTACGCAAAGGTCCTAGCAAACAGGTTGAAAGATCTAATGCCCGAATGGATCCATGGAGATCAGGTGGGCTTTGTCCCAGGGAGAGAGGGTAGAGATAATGGGTTGAGAACTTTGATGCTTACCCAGAAAAGTAGAAAAGGGAAAGCCCCGGTGGTACTCTTGTCAATTGACGCCGAAAAGGCGTTTGATAGAGTGGACTGGGGCTTTATGATGGACAACTTGGAAGTGTTGGGAATTGGAGAGAGAATGCGTGAGTGGATAGGTAAACTATACAGGGAGCCCACTGCAATCATCACGGTAAATGGGGAGAGGTCGGAACCCATTGGGATGTCCAATGGAACAAGGCAGGGATGTCCACTGTCCCCCCTACTGTATGTTATGACATTGGAACCCCTGTTATCAATGATAAGGAATAGTGGTGCAGTAAAAGGAATACAGATAGAAAATATAGAACATAAAGTAGCGGCCTTCGCAGACGACCTACTGTTATATGTGGGAAACCCCCGAATAACACTACCAAATATATTGAAGATCTTGAAGGAATACGGTGAACTATCAAATCTAAAAATTAACCCAACAAAAACAGAAATTCTGAACATTAATGTACCAAAGAGCGAAAAAGAAAAGCTACAAAAAGAATTCCCCTTTATCTGGAGAGAAAAAGATATAAAATACCTAGGAATAAAACTTGCTACCTCATATAAACAACTGTATAGATTAAACTATATTTCTCTGATAAATGAGACTAAGGATGAACTAAAAAGATTAGAAGGAGGAAACCCATCATGGTTAGGACGTATAAATCTAATTAAAATGGTAATTATACCTAAAATACTCTATAGATTTCAAATGATCCCAATCAAACTTCCAGAGGTGTTTTTTAAGACAATGAGAAAAATGTTAACAAAATATATATGGAGGAATAAGAAACCAAGAATATCTTATGAAACACTAAGTAGGACTAAAGAGAAAGGGGGGATGGGACTACCTGATGTCAAGAGATATTATAAAGCCGTAATTTTAGCAAGAATCTATGATTGGACTTTTAACCATAAGGGAAAAAGTTGGGTAAAAATAGAAAACGAACTGAGTGGAATTAATTTGAGTAAGATGATATGGGTTCCACCACATTATAGAAGGATTAAAGAGAGCACAAGCACCTACACTTTAAATGTTTTAAGGATATGGGATAATTTACATAGGTATATGAAATGGGAATTCAACTCTATATTAATGCCTCTTGCAAACACGGAGTATTTCCCTCCAGGAAAAGATGAGATATCAGGGAGATGGATTAAAAAGGAAGATATCCAATTGAGAGACGTTTTGGTAGAGGGGGAACTGAGAACATTTAAAGATTTAAAAGAAAGGGGAGGAGATTTGTTTATTAAAATAGATGAGTGGAAATATCATCAATTAAAATCCTTTATTGGAACTCTTCCTAAACCCTTGAGATTAAAAAAGGAGTGGAATCTGTTTGAAAGGTTATTGGAAACTCGTAGAGATGGGAAACACGGTGTCACAAAAATGTATAGAATATTCACAGAACTGTACACAGATATGAAGTTAATTTTTATAACAAAGTGGGAAAGAGATATGGGGGTGGTGATAGATGAAGATCAACAGAATAAGATATTTAGATTAGTTCACGAGAATGTTAGTATGAGAGATGTTGAGATTAATTATAAGTGTTTGACACGATGGCATATTACACCGAGCACTGAGCACAGGATGAGGGGGGAGAATTCAAAAATGTGTTGGAGAGGATGTGGGGAAGAGGGCACGGTTTTTCACATATGGTGGCAATGTCCAAAAATTCAGGCTTTCTGGAAGATAATAGTCAATTTAATAGAAATAATAACTGGAAATGACATAGGATTAGACCCAACCATGTGTCTCCTACATAGTGTTGAGACAACAGTAAAAAAAATATAAAGAATCAGGCCTATGGTACTATTTAAGTGCTGCAAAAGGGTTGATACCCAAGTTTTGGTGGAAGATGGAGGTTCCGACGGAGGAAGATTGGATCAATAGGGTAAACCAGATTAGCAGAATGGAAAAATCTTATACTCAGGAAGATAGGCTGAAATTATACTACTCGCGATGGGATAAATGGGAAAAATCAGGATTGAAAGAGAAATATAGAAAACTCTAAACTAGGAAATCACTTGAAGTTATTGGGCCTAGAGAGACTTTGAGATCTTGCAGAGAGGAGGGGAGGGGGGGAGGGAGGGGAAAAGGGGGGTGGGGAGATGGGAAAGAAAAGAGGTAAATAGAAGGAACAAGGTAGAAATATATTGACTATTTATATGTATTGTGTTTCTCCATATGAAATTTTTGTTATAATATGAAAAATTAATAAATATTTTAATTAAAACAGAACAGCATCATGTGCTGTAATGTGCAGAATTGTCAGAGGCGTTTGGGAAGCGGTAAAAACGCTTCCCAAACGCCTCTCTGCCGCCTGCACACAACACTAGTGTGAACATAGCCTTAAAGTGTGACATGTTAGGTATCTATTTACTCGGCTTAACATTGTTTTTTATTTTTGTTTTTTTAAATAGGTATTATATAGTGTTTGTGTGCAATAAAATTCCTTCAATTATATTTTTTTCCACAAAACTGCATTTGAAAAAAAACCGCTGCGCAAATACCGTGTGACAGAAACAAATTGCACTGCCCACCACTTTATTCTCTAAGGCCTCTGCTAAATATACATAATATTTGGGGTAGGGTTGCCACCTCATCCCTTTAAACCCAAACACATATTAATTACACAGGTTCTGAGGATAATCTAATACAGAAAAGACACTACATGAGTTTAATTATCACCTTAATCATCCACAGAACCTGTCATTAATATGTGTTCGGGTTTAAAGGGATGAGATGGCAACCTTAGTTTGGGGGTCCTAAGCAGGGCTGTGGATAAGGGTGCACCACCTGTCCTTCTGTACAGGGCCCAGGGCAGCAGGCGGGGCCCAGGCAGCTGGGTGAATTGGATGTGGGCAGGGAGGGTGATTGGCACGGCAGGGGGGACAATTACTGGAACCGATCCCCTGTATAGATCTCTCTGCAGCAGCTGGCTTCCTATCTCCCTCCCGCTGATTATCAGCTGCTGCAAAAAGAGGCATACAGCGGATTGGTTTCAGTAATTGCATTTCCCAGTGCTGCCCAGATGCCTCTCTGTGCAGCACAGGTGCCCCTGTGTGCCCCCACTGCAGTGCTGCTGGATTCCCTCCTCTCCTATTCACCTGCAACTGCAAGCACACAATAGGATCCTGCAGGATGGGGAGTGGTGGAACGGTCCCATAAATATGTCACATTTACCAGCCCTTTTCTTTCCTGAGTGAACACAATGAGTGATTTATCACTCACCGTGTTCATTCATTACTGAAGCATAGTAAACTAGATTTTTTTTTGGGGGGGGGCGTGCAGTCAGACTGGCTGTATGGGGCCCCATGGTTTATAACAGCAGCCCTGGTTCTCAGTAATTTTCTAGCAAAAAAATGCTGATTTGTACGTGACCCGGGAGAGGACTGGTTAATGGGGTGTAAATGTCCTGAGCTGCAATATATTACATAGTTGTTCTTGAGTGCAGGTACATTTTGAGGGAAGATGTGAAAGGATCAGGTTTATGTTTCATGCTATATTTCCCTGGGGTGTCATTGTCACCGGAGGTCGGTGTCATGTGATGGGACTGAGGCCCTGACAGGAAGACTCCTGACGTCATTGTTGTAATAAACCAAGTCACCACTAGATGGCAGTGCGGCCGCCCGGTATGTAATGTAAACATAGAAAGTGAAAGTCCGGAGTCCAATGTGTGTCCACCCTGTCCTCGGACTGTGATCCCTCCGCCATGTCCGCCGTACTTCTGGGGGACCCGCTCACCCCAAAGAGGGGCCCGACCGAGGAGGAGGAGGAGTTCAGCTTCCTGCTGGTAGATGAGGAGGAGACCCTGCAGGTAGGTGGAGTGGGGTGTACTGTGTGTGCTCTGTATACACATTCGTTATGTACGGAGTATATCGGGTGTAGTTAGAACAATGTGGTTAATTGAAAGTGAGAAGTGTGCTGCCCCTTTAAGAGCTGAATACAATGGAGGGGCAGGGAGGGATGCATGGAGGATGCACACCATTGTGTCACCTCATCCAGCACGTGACTTCCCCGAAGTCAGGACACAACAACAGACTCTGTGATCCACACAATACATGGCAGAAGATTGCGCTCTACTGCTGAACAAACTACATTCACTAAACATCATTATTCCCTGGATATAACAGGAGAGGAGATATATACTTTTATATATATATATCCTAGTGCTGGGGTAGGGTTGCCACCTCATCCCTTTAAACATATTAATGATACAGGTTCTGGGGCTAATTTAATGCAGATAAGGCACTAAGTGAGTTTAATTACCACCTTAATCAGCCCCAGAACCTGTGTCATTCATATGTTTAAAGGAATGAGGTGGCAACCCTACACTGGGGTCACCCCTGAACTGCAAGGGTGAGGTGTTCATTTCAGTCCATGGGACAGGAAAAGTAGTGTTAGGGCTCATTCATTCAAGAAATCAGATCTGAGCCATCCTCTGCAGAGTATGAATCTACCTTGGATCTGCGTGCAGGCAGGCTATAGAATTGGATGCAGATGCAGCGGCTACATGGACACAGTTTCATGTCAAATCTGACATGTGGACAGGAACAGGTGCAGACTTGAATGCACAGTACCTGCGTTCAGATCCATGCTCCTGCCTGCATGTCAAATTTTGACATGTGACTGTGTCCATGCAGCTGCTGCATCTGCATCATCTTCTATGGGCTGCCTGCATGCAGATCCAAGGTGGATTCACACACAGCAGAGAATGGCTCAGATCAGAGGAGAGGTTCTTGTCACTTGTCTGAATGAGCCCTTAGGCTGTTAATGCCACACCTCTGAAAAGCATTTTGCCCTGGCATTTGTCAGGAGGTGATATATATTGCCTCCTCTCTGCCTGTTTTAACTCTATAAATACCATTCCAACACACCGCAACTATTTATATTGCATGCAGTTGTGGCGAGGCCCCATTTGCTTGAATGGGTTGCATTTGATGACCACCAAACATGAAAGTGGGGGTGATTTTGGCTGCAAAGCAAAGCATCATGGGTGTGCCATGTGTACAACCTCTGTTCAGCTGCCTTCGCGACCTAAGGGAAGATATATGCATTTATGTGTTATTCTGTTTTGTGAATACATCCTTTTTCAGAACAATGGTGTGCTGTTAGAGCCCTACATGAACAATAGTGCAGGACCTTTGGTTTATTAGAAATAATTCTGTAGTATAACACAAGTAGAACAAGTTTTTTTTTTTTTTTTTCAATTATGTGGCAATATCAAATACAATATTGGATGCTTTGAATGACATCCAATAATGTGGCTAAATAAAATCCATTTTCTTTTTTGCAGGTAAAAGATGTGGCTGACTTTATCAAGAGACTTGGATGTAGTCCACAAGAACCTGTCAAAGTTCTCAGTATTTTCGGTAATACCGGAGATGGCAAGTCACACACTCTCAACCACATGTTTTTTGGGGGTCTGGAGATCTTCAGGACCTCTCCCTCCCAGGACTCTTGCACAGTGGGGGTATGGGCTTCATACTACCCAGAATTGTCCTTGGTGTGCTGCTGGATACTGAAGGTCTTCTGGGGGCCACAGATAAACAGAACCAACGCCTGCGTCTCCTGCTGAAGGTTCTGGCTGTGTCGGATCTAGTGCTTTATAGGACAAGGGCAGAGAGGTTACACAACGATATGTTTCAGTTTTTGGGGAACGCCTCAAAGGCTTATTTGAAGTTCTTCACTCCTGAGCTAAAGGCCTTATCTAGTCGCTGTGGGCTGGAGGTAACACTGTCCAGTCTTGGACCGTCCCTCACAATTTTCCATGAGACTTCTCGGACTGATCTGCTGGGTTATGGTAAGAAGCCAGGGTCAAACCATTATTACGAAGTTGTTTAATCAAGTCTTCCGACATTTCCAAAATTAAAGATACACTTACAAAGTTAATTGAATACTGTCCATAAACTTATTTTATTTGTACTAACAGTTGAATTTCCAGGACAAGATTTTGGGGTGCTTCCTTTTTGTATTGCGAATAAGAGAACACCCAAAAGCTTGTCCTGAAAATGTAACTGTTACTACAAATAAAAAATATCAACAGTACTCAATTGTTTTGTTGCAAGTGTACTAATATGTCTGCAATCACTTTAAGCATGTGACGAAAAAAAAAAGAAACCACGAGGTACATACAGGAGGTACAACCTACCTGCTCTTGACATTTTCATCCAGGCAGAGCTGTAGTGTCCCTATCTACACTCCCTTTAATTGGAAATATGCTGAACTGAGAACACGTTTTTTTTTCAGAAGAAATATTCCTGAACACACACATTGCAGGCTCCTTGTTTTCTTACACGTACAGTAAGCCTGATATAGCAAATTTGTCATTCCTAAAAAGTTTCTCAGACACATACGTAAATTACATTCAAACCTGCCTAGGAAGCTTGAATTTGATCAGTGATGCTTTAAACAGAGACGTAAAAAGTCCTGTAGACCCCAGATCTCTTCATAAAGAGGACCTGTCATACTTTATTGTTATCACAAGGGATGTTTACACGGCTTGTGATATCAATAAAAGTGATTAAAAAAATTAAAAGGACAGTGTAAAAATAAAAAAATTATAAAATAATTAAAAAAAATGTTTTTTAACAGGTTCCTGCCTGGCCTATAGCCAGATGGCAGCCTGCAAAACCCCTCTCAAGCTGAGAGAGAGGTTTTCGTTAAAAAAAAAAAAAAAAAAAAAACGTAAAGGAATAAAAGGCATTATGACAGCTGAGACTCAGACTCTAAACTTTGGACCTGAGTGGCCCTGGTTTAATGGCATGTACCTATGAGTTATACTGCGGGGACCACCATTTGAGGGGAGATCCAGAGCTGAGTTTAAGTGGAGCCATTGGAACCAGTTGCATGCGATTCCATATGGTGTGGAATTAGTTGCTGTATAAAGCATTGAGGCCCTTAGGGGTCGCAGTGAGGAGGCATTCTGGCCACTTGTGGATATTGTTCCACCTGAGTGTCACACAAGCACTGAAAAATAATCTTTGGAGTGGAAATTGAAGCACAGATATTTGCATTTTTTGCACAAGATTTTTGCATACATTTGCATTTTTGCACTATGATGGACTATATTGTTAGTCATTTCACTTAAGCATTGGTTGGTGTTATTAGCACCAGTCACTCTCTAGTTTTAAAGTGTGACATGTTAAGTTTCTATTTAATCGGGTTAACATTATATTTCATATTTTACAAAAAAATTGGGTTATTTATGAAAAACTGTGACATAAAAAATTGCAATGACCACCAATTTATTCTCAAGAGCCTCTGCTAAAAAAAACAATATATAAAGTTTGAGGGTTCTAAGTAAATTTCTAGCAACAAAATGCTAATTTTTAACAAAAAAAAGTGTCAGAATAGGCCTGGGCCAGTCATCTCCAATGACCCAATCATTTTTGCAAACTGTCAGGAATTTTATAGACGTTTAGGTTTGGGCCATTTCATGAAACCTCATCAAGAGAACACTTATCTGCTTCTATGGTGTTGCTTCCTTGTGGCCCAAACCATGGCAGAATTTTGCTCAACAGCAACACCTCTTTGGTTCAGCCAGTGAGAGATCAACATCATTGAAGCAGGTGAGGGCATTTCAAGCAATTATCTCATTCTTTCCTGTGTAGCTGGTTCACATGTATGAGCTGGGGTTTACTGTGCTCTGAAAGGAAAACTGTGGGCCCACTCACATCTGCATGTGTGCATTACCACATGCGCTGCAACATATGCAGAACAGTGCAAATCCAGCTACAGTAATATAGTACAGCAAGCATGTGAAAGTCTAACTTAAATTTAAAGCTTGTTCAGAACCTTGCAATTATAGGAACACTCTTGAGATTTTCAGCATGATGAGATTTATTTAACTTTTCCAATGATTTCAAATTGCTTCAATGCAGTACAGTACTGGGAACAGGTTTTGTGAAAATAGCATGTTTTTCTGGTTCAGTAAATTTTTATTGAAGTTTACAGGTTTACAAAGGGCAAGTCCACATAAAAACAGAACAAGGGTACATGAAGTACAACATGGGGGGGGCTAAACACCCCTTTACAGGTACCAAGAAGAAAACAGCATGTTTTTATTGGTCCAAACATTTTGCCTGGTGTGAGCAATTCTAAGTCACATTTTAAGTCCGTCACAGTAATTCAAAATATTGATTATTAAACACACCATATAGTTTCCCTTTAATTGTAAAGTGTTACTAAACCCAGGACACTACATTCACTATATTTGGTCTCCCACAGTACACACTACATGAAAATGCAATTATTTTAGTAAATATAAAATGCTAAATACCTTTTTTCATCAGCAGTTAGAGCAGTCTAGTGACTTCTATCAGTGTCCAGCAGAGCACTGGTTAAAGTTTGTAGGAGGCGTTTTCATTCTGCTCTTAGAGGATGAAAAACCCCTGACCTCTGTCTGGACTGGACAGTTTTGATTGGCCCTGTGCTGATCACATGCACTCTCCCAAGAAGAAAAAAAAATGCACACTAAACTGAGCATGTGCAGAGTCTCTCCACACGATATGTCTTATCAGGAGATAAGAGGGAGACATTGGGAGAAGGGTAGAATCAGAGAAGTCAGAATCAAACCGCATTTTTAAACAATGCAGAGGATTAACTCCTTAGGTTCCACAGTGAGTATAACAAGCATGCTTCACTGCATATACAGACTGATTTTACTTTTGTGGGTTTAGTAACACTTTAAGAGTCCATGATGTGGACATGGGAGTCAGGTTGGGTACTTGAGTTGGGAACTCTGGCAGTGAGATCTCACTGCTGGAGCCTCTGAAGGCAAAGGGGGACCAGTGGGTGATTCAGCTCACAGATGTCCATACATTCTTGAAATAACAGTTTTTAGCTGGATTAGCCTTTAATCTTGTTTTGGTATAGGTTTCCCTGGCATTATGTTATCCATGTTTTCTCCTTCCCTGCAGGAAGCAAGGTCCGTGGCCAGGCAGAGACAGACTTACTAAAACGTTTCCATGATTTGGGGACTCCTCCTGAAGCCTTTAGCTCCATCCACTATGTGGGAACAAAAACTGTAGTCCCACCCACTGACTTCTCTCAATTAATGGACAGAGTGAAGAAGCTAGTTATGGATACATCCACTCGCTCATCCAGACCATTATCTCATGTTTTCACAGCCTTACAGGTATAACTTGGAAATATAGTATTTTGGCTCTCATCCCCAGGTGATTACCACTGTTTCTTTTTGTCATCAAGAGAGATGGATGCCCAAGCCTGAAGGCATCTTTTCATACTAACCATAACCCTAGCTATAACCTTCTCCCTAACATAACCTTAATACTAACCCTTCTATAAACATAACTTGTTTATTTGAATACATATCTATCTTGTGCTGGGATCTTCTGCACCAGAAGATACTGCTGTTAGATTATTTTTTTCTTTTTTATTGTAAGTGGCCACTCCTTCTCATCAGCATTCCATTGTTGAGTAGGTATTTACTGGGAAAGAATAACTGTGCATAAAACAGGCCATATACTCTTCATTTTTTTTTTTTTGGTTCAGCCAGGAAGCTAAAAAAAAAAACAAAACCAATTCCCTCATCTACACATTCGATATGGATGGGGGAATCCTCCCCTTGGTGCTATTGTATTCTGACAGTGGGGAGACTCCCACAGATCAGCATGCAGCCATTGGCTGAAGACACTGACCAAACATCTTTTTTCCAACAGGGCAGTTGAAAAAGATCTACTTCTGTTTAACTGCAGTGGCTACACACGGATCAAAATTTGACTGGTCCCTGCTAAACTGTCTGAATTTCGATCCATGTATGGCCTTCTTAAGATGCAGTGAAAACTTCCACTGCTCTTTTCCTGCATGGTCTATGCTGTCCTCATGATGTAGAAAAGAGTTATCTAGTTTGTGAATCTTAAGTGCTGGGTTTAGTTTTAACTGATATCCTCATTTGATTAAAGAGGGTGGTTGTCAATCTGTCAAAAATATATCCTGCTTTTTAGCTTTTTTTGACCTGATATAAAAAGGTTTGGGGGGAAAAAAAATGACATAATTTCATAACTGTCATTTTATTTTCTTAAAGAGTTTATAATTTACAGAGTGGCAAGTCAAGCCAAGTGGTCTGTTTTAAGGTGGTCACAGAAATGTCTATTATACTGTGTATTTTTTTTCAGAAAGTTAAATTATATGCCCAATTTAACATAACTAGTTAGAACATTGCTTTTATTTCCTAACTTACACTTTCACTTTGCTTATTCCTCAGTCAGTGGAGGAGGAATATATAGGATTTAATTTTTTGTTGTTGTGTTTTCCATGCAGAGTCTAAGTGAGCGATTCTCTGGGGATATTCCAGATGATCAGGTTCACATCACCTCTTTCTTCCCCGATGAATACTTTACCTGTTCCCTGCTGTGCCTCAGTTGCAGGTAATCTAGATACTTCACAGCTCCAGATCTTTAATAGAAACTTTGTGGGCTCATTCACACTGGCACAGAGGCCCATACAGTGTGCAAGAGCCATTTGGAGCATCCTGGAGCTGCATGCGGGCAGTCTATGTTAGTAAATGGAGATGCAGTGACTGTACAGGCTCACCTGCACACCTAAATGTGACAGGCATGCAGGGATAGGTGCACAGCCCCAAACACAGACAGTGGGCATTCATGGCCGTACATTGTCCCAGCATACATGTCAGAATCAGATGTGTGGATGAGCTTGTACAGGCACTGCATTTCCATTGACTAACATGCATACAGCCCTACACTGGTCCAGATGCTGTACGGGCCTCAGGACTGTGTGAATGAACCTTAAATGGA